GTTTCATTAGCAACATGTTGCAACACACTTAAAGAAACATATTGTCGGATTGATGCAATAGCTTTCCGGTTCAAGGTAGTCCAAGCTTTCTCATCAACACCTGTTGGACGTTCTTTATACAAAATTGGGTCAAGCAAATCTTTAGAGCATAAATAATCCTCAATACGAATTTTCCAAATTGAATAATTCGTAGAGTTCAAACTAACCATTCCTTGAACAATTACTTTGTCATCCATCATAAACAACACAAGAAGCCAACCAAAAATAATCAAGCTCCGATACCACTTTGTTGGGGAAGCACGGAACAAAACACAACGGAAGCGTATAAAATCTTTTCCCCAAATTAATGAGATGAATAACAAGCACAATATACTCCAAAAACAGCAGCACCACCACAAATAAATAGCAAGGGAAATAAAGTAAAGAACACACGATTTACGTGGAAACCCCAAATCGGGGAAAAAACCACGGCCGCTCAACAACGGCTCCCAAACTTCCACTAATCACCAAGAATCAAGTGGGTACAACAAGTTCTCCTCTCTAGTAAACACTAGAGGCATACACAATCATCAAGGAGCAACCTTGGAACAACAACAATCAACAGTTCACCATAAAATGGAGTAAAAACTCCCAAAAACGCAGGTCTGAAAACGTAGCTAGAAAACAGCCTTCCGGGCATCAAAATGAGAATCTGACCGTTGGATTTGAAGAGGAGTATGCGAGGAACAACATACTAAAATTTGAGTACGATCCGACTTCGTTTGGCCTTCGATCCGGAGGTGAAAAATGGCTGCTGCACAGTGTGGCGAGAATTCCTTTTTCTCCTTCTTTCCTGCGTTAAGCTACTCTGCCTTCTCCTCCTCAAGTTGCTGCCTTATCACTTTCTCTTTTTATTTTCTTTTAGTTAGTAGCCACACAAGATGGGCCACCAAAAAATATTTGGGCTAAAGCTTTACACACAAAAAAAGCCCAAATATAAAAGATAGATGTAAAGTATTTGTCCAATTAAAATTGAACACTTCCTCCATGTAGGAGGGAAATTTCCCAACAATATCTCATTTCTGTTTCATCTTCCTTTATTTTGTTGTTTCATTCTTAGTGTGTTTACTGCATGCCCTCATTTATTTTGCTAAATAACTTAAATGGAATCCCTTACTCTTGTTACTGGTATGAAGACCAATTCTACAAATAAGCAAAATGATTGGTGCCTCAATGGCTAATATTGTTTTTTTTCCAGCAAACTTTCTATAGCTCTGCACCAGTGCTCGATAACTTAAATGAGTAACTGCATATACAAAGAAAAATTCAATTTTTTCCCTTCATAGTTAGTCTCTTGAACCATTCTCTTCCAGATGGCCAGTGTAGTCTTTGTGTTAATATCAATTCATTTTTAGTATACTGCATCCAGATTTGCTGCATAAAGGGTAGTAACAAATGCATATCTCATGGGCTACATGTAGGAATAGACCAGCAAAGAAACAAAGGGGAGGTGTATGGTGCTGATTAGGCATGCCAAAAAACTAAGGTGCATGTTCTCATATGCTATAAGTTTTTTTTAAAAAATTAAAGGAATGATTTTGGAAGATAAAAAGAGTTAAATGATTGAGTGGTGTAGGTGTATTCAATCTTATGGCATACTTAAGAGTTTTCATCTCATATAAGGTCTGACTAATAAACTTTAAAGTCAACAAAGGGTAAGGGATTCCATTTAAGTTATACGCTGGTCATTTTCAAATTTTGACAAGTGGGTGTTAGCCTTAACTGCATGTAACATATATGTGTATATATACTGTCACGCTACTTTAACTGTTTTGTCAAATAAGCTGTGTAACTCTAAATGTCACAGACTTTTGACCATAGAATTTTCCATGAAATAAACACGATTGTATATTGTCATTTTTGTGAACCTGGAAAAATTGTCAGAGATTAGAAGCCAAGGCCAATACCGCAAGAGTCATCTAAATTCATGCTTAGAAATCAAACAAACTGTAAAAGAATGGATCCCATCTTAGTTAGTGCTCCATAGTAATTACCTGTCAAGGGGCTGTTCAGTCCCCGTCCTGATACCAAATGAGAACACATACCGAATAGAGCGTTTTGGATTCCTTCCAATATGTTCTGAATTAATGGTTTGTATTTGCAACCATTATGATCTCATTCTTTCTTACTCCATATAATTTTATTATTTATGGTGTTCACAGGTGACCAACCACTCTTCGTGCTCTTTCTTCGTCTCAAGAACTTGCTCTTCGACTCCCTTGGTATGTTTACGCACTTTAAAAATATGTTTCCCCAATTTTTTTTTAAAACAGGTTTTCTATGCAGTTCTAAAAATGTTAGGTGTCTCATATTTGCTTATTTACTTAATTTATGTCTATACATGTGTTTGTTATTACATCATGCATAACATTACTGAATATTTAGGTGTATTCTTAAGTCATTATAGATTCAATGGAAATTCCATCATCATCTACTCAACCAGTCGCCGAGGGTAATCGACGTGAACAAATAAACTTTAGACGACGGCTTAGATATCGTGAATTACGTGAACAACAAAAAAGCACGGCTTCAGCGAGTACTCAACGCTCAAAATTCTCTGGCTCTTGTTCTACTGATAAAGGTCTTTCATTAATTAAGCGGCTATAAAGTTATATCTCCGTTTCCTTAGCCTTTTTCCGTTTCCTCCGTCAAAGCACTGTTTGTTCCACTGGCCCACCCATCATCTTTATCACAGTTCATTTTTAGTCCTAAAAAACTTAATATTTCAACTTGCTATTCAAATATTTTAATCTTTCTTTTTTTTTTTTACTTTTTTCTTATCGCCTCTAGGGTTTGTACCCAATTTTTACAATACAAGTGTGCACTGACATTCTCTGGTTGTGTAATGTTAATTTTTGTTAACGCACCAATACTTCGTGTCAATATAAATTTTTATTAAAGTACCAACATTTTGTATTAGTGTGGATCATCAAATTTTAGTGTATATCTTTGGTGTAAATTTGGGGTACAAATTTTGTTGTAAGTGTAGCATCTTCCTTATTTTTTTGTTGTAATTTCCCCAATTTACCCCTATGTTGGGCACTACCCGCACAAAGTGCGTGTTTGGCTAGTATTATATCCCCCTTATACTATAAGGCCCCATGCTGTTTCCTTCCGTCAAATGAGTCCTTTTTCCGTCAATTTACACCTGTTGGAAGTTGGGCCTTTTTTCCTTCGGCAATCCCATTATGCGTCTTCCAAATTTTACAGCCCCCCGATCTCTGCCGCCGTCTGTTCTCTTACTCTCTACCATTTCTCCTTTGATTCTTGCACTATCTACCACAACCACTGCCACCGCCCCAAGATACCGTCTTCCTCAGCTTATTAATAAATATTGGACTAATTCTTGGACTATTGTTCCTGCAAGAAATATTTTCCACTTTATCCAGGTAATTCTTTCCTCTTTTTCTCCTTTTGCATCTCTTCTTCGTCTCCTTCCTCTTTTTCTTTCCTCATTTTGTTCTTGATTAGTAATAAAACGTACAGTCCAATTTAGATTTTGATTAAGTTATTGCTTTGTTTTGATTTCTTTTAATTCGATAGGTTAATCGATATGAAGCTTAGATTTCAGCTTCCAATTTTTTCTTTGTGGGAACACAACTTTTACTTTCACTTTTTAAAGGCTTAATTCTTTTATGTTTTATTTTAATTTCTATTTCAGTTCCCCTTATTTAATTTAGATTTTGAAATTCCTAAGATTTAGGTTTACATCTGATTGATAATGCTAAATTGAAATTGAGTTGGCAAGTTTTAAGAATTTAGGGTTTACCTCTACTTGAAAATTTATTTACTTTTGTTTTATTTGTGATTAATTGAGCTGACTTTTCTAGTTTGATTAAGCAGAATTGATGTTGAATTTTGTGGTTTGCTTCTGCTTGATAACCCAAAAAATTTCAAAAAACTTAGGGTCTTTAAATTTCTTTACCTTTACTGCTTTGGAAAATTTATAATTGAGGTCACGATATTGTTTTAAAATCCCAACCAAAACATATTGACATTCTTTATTTATCTTTTGTTCTTTGCTCTATTTTTTGGAATAATGATAGTTTAATCGTAGAAGGAATAGAGGGAATTGTTTGCTACTTTGCTTTTTTCTAAGTTTTTTGATTTGGATCCAAAATATTGTCAAACAACTTTCCGAAAGAAGGTTATGTGAACAAAAAATTATTCTGATGGTCCATTTTCAAAGTAACTCCAATGGACATGCTTTCATTAACAATAAAATAAAACCTCTATTGTATTGAAACATAAAAAATTTCAATAGATTTATTTTTTGAAAAATTTCAAATATTTTTTTTAAAAAATTTGTAGATTGATTATTACTTACTAATTTGCCTGGGTCTATTCTTATGCTTTATTTTGTACTACTATTACTACAACTACACATTTGTTTCTACTCTATATGATGGCCATCATTGGGCATGAAGTCCCCCCCACCCACCAAACCCCCATCGGCTTGCTCACACTTTAACACAATAATATTTTGACCACATGTGAACAAAACATGAAAACAAAAAAGAACAACAAAGAAAGGTATTTGAAGATTTTTTTGCTCTTCGTTCGTGCAATTTATTTTAACAAGGTGCAGTTCTTTTCTGTTGTGTTTCTACAAATGTGTTTTAGTTTTGAGGAAAACACACTTTGCCAGAGCCAACATATTTTATAAAACAACCAAATATCTTGTTGAAGACGATTGGAAGATGTAATGGTGCTTCATTTTTCTCTTCATCCAAATAACGCATTTTAATCTTACATTTCTCTTGATTTTCTCCTCCATATTTTATTTGTTTGTTTTAAATTGATGTATTTTTATATAATTACAGCCATGACTTTGAAGTTCATTTTCAAAACAAATGTGAAACACCAAGGACTGATTTTAAAAGTGAACTTCAATTTTGATTAGGGAAATCTTTTGCATACTCTTGATTAATGTCAAAGTCATGAAAGTGATAGTTTAAAAGAGAACCAAATCTAAAGAGTTTTTGCTCACGTTGATTTTCAATACAACAAGTCCACTCCCTTTGGTTACCATAGTGGAATAGGTACTATATGTGTTTTCATTATTATGCCTACATCAGCTATCTTACCAACACACAAAAAGTCCACAACTCAAGAGAAAAGAAAGAGCTACTATACAAGTCAAGATGACAAACTGCAGGGGAAAAGAACAAGTACAATTTCAAAGCATCTAGCTTCCATAGTGAAACTATTACCGTGGTGAAAATGATCTCTATACCTTACGCAGGTCATTTTCAAATTTTGTCAAGTGGGTTTTAGCCTTAACCGCATGTAAAATCTATGTATTGTCATGCTACTTTAGTTGTTTTGTCAAATAAACTGGGTAACTACTGGTAACCTCATGTTCTCCATCTTAGTTGCTGGTATCTTATGATATAGGTAAGGATTGGAACTATGCTTTTTTTACTCTTATCAAATGGACACCTGCTTGGGCACCCACGCACATCGTGCGTTCCCAGCTAGTTACTCCGTATAAGGCGCAACAAAGTTTCCTCCGTGAAGTTAGGTCCTTTTTCCGTCACTGTTCCGTCCAATTGCCCATTTCCCCGTCAGTTTACAGCAATCCTACGCTCCGTTTTCCAAAGTCGTCTCTTCTCAATTGCCCACTCTTCTCTTCTCACTACGCAGCGTACTCCCCATTCGCCCCTTTCGCCGCCCGCTGCCCCCACGATGTCTCGCGCTTCAATTCTCACCCCTCAGCTGTTATATCCTTCATCTCCTTCACTGACCTGTTTTTATTCAGCTTTCTTCTTCATTTACCAGGTATGTCGATCTTCTTCACACATCTTCATATCCTCATGCCTCATAATCTTCAAATCTGTACCTTCTTTTGCTCTGAATTCCAATTTCTGCAAATTTGAATATTTTTTCTTTTAACATGATTTTGAGTAATGTGATTGCTGAAGCTCTGCATCAATTTTGTTCAATTTTGATTTGAAAAAAGATTGGGCCCTTTGGGCATTCTTGAATTTAATCTCATCTGGAATTTTGGTTGCAGAAAACATATAAAAGTGTTGACAGTTGTAGTTTTTCGGGTAGTAAACCTTCCCAGTAAATGGTTAGTTTTCTCTCCGAGTGTCGTATCTCTCGAGGAGTGGACGAAGGGAATTAGTTTAATTACTCTAATTAGGCGAAGATTAGGATTGGTTTATGAAAGTCTTCTCGAAACGAATAAAAAGGGAGCAGAGTAAAAATAATAAATTTAGTTTACATAGTATAAGTATAGATCTGGACCTAGGGTCTGGACATCATTTGGATCTATTTTATCATATTAAATTAACAATTGGAATAATAATATTTCTATTACTACTCATCCATTTCTAGATTTGTACTTAATCCGTTGTTCTTGAATATCGTAGCCTTTTGGCATACAATATTTTCTCAATAAATAGCTAATTAAATCTTTCGA